GAATGCAAGGAATCATGAGACTCTACAGCATACAGTGACTGTGGGAGTTTATTTTCAGGATAAAGAAATTTTTAAATGCATATTTGTATGTAAGGAATGTCATTAAAAAGGGAAAGAATAAAAAATCTAAGGAAGAAATATATCTCCTTCCTTCCTTTCTGCAACTCCCCACTTGTGAGAATCCTTTCTACTTTTCCTTACCTTTCTCAAGGTCTTAGGTTGTCTTGTTTTTTGTTTGTTTGTTTGTTTGTTTTGTTTTGTTTTTACTTTTTACTCTGTACAATCCTAATCACTCCACTGGCTCACTTTCAGATAACTTCAACTCTAGTCCACATTTCCTTCCTAAGCTTTTTTATTCATGACCTCTGGGTCTTCACAAGGCTCTCACTCTAAAGACACACTAAACAGAATTCATCTTCCTTCCATCTCTGAAATCTTCCCTTGCTCACATGCTCTCTATCTTAGTAACTCCTCTACAAGCAATTATTCAAATCAGAAGTTTCTTTTTTATGACTGCTCTCACTATTTCTTACATTTGACATATTATCAATGAGCATAATTCATCAATTGTATTTTCAATTGATCCCTGCATGTCTCCTTTCTCTATCCTCACTATCCCATCCACATCCAGGTCACTGCCCTTTCTCATTTGTGTTTCTATGACAGCCACCAAACTGGTCTTCCTCCCTTCATTTTGGCCTCACTGGAATTGTTTTGTTTTTGTTGTTTTTTGTTTGTTTGTTTGTTTGTTTGTTTTCTCTGCAGCAGCCAGAGTGATCTTCTGAAAATATACTCCTGACAATGTCATTACTAGGTCTAGAACACGTCAGTGGCTTTGTCCAGAGCCAGTAGGACAGATATATTCCTGAACATGACTTCCTGCATATTCTTGTCTCTGCTTAACTTTGTCATCATTCCTGACCACCTCCCATTTTCTTGACTACTCTCTGTGTGTACAACTTTCTCTATTGTTTTTGTGATTTTGCAAATGCATTCCTTCACCTGAGATGTTTCTGGTTATTCTTCAGATCTTGAAGCATATGTTATATCTTCTGACTAAGACTTATGCAAATTATTTCTGGTATATTCCTTCAATGCCCTATCTCCCATGGCATTTTTTTCTAAGCTCTTATTTTTGTTCTTTCTGTGCAGTTTAACAATTGTTCAGTTTCATTACCAGAATTCCCTTGAAGATAATAACTACAATCTAGACAAAAAACATTTTACCTTAATATGCCCTAATCTTCCACAATCCAGAGTATAGAGTAGGTGTGTTACACTTATTTTATAAATGAAAATATAAATGGTAAGTGATTGCATGAAGAATAAAGTTATTTGTGCAAAAGTTTGTAGAATATTGGATTGAGAGCACATAGTGAGAGACTTTAGACTTAAAAATAAGAAAAGATCATTCTTCCCTGAAAGAAGAGAAATTAAGAGGTGAAGGAAGGAAAAGGAGAGAGTTACTACTAAATGGCTTTGGTCCTATCAGTACAGCAGGCAACAACACCATCTTTAGAGAGCAAATTAAAGATGTATATTTGTCGATTTGAGGAAGAGCAGGTGCTTTAAAATAGTTGTTGATAGTAAATCTATAGTGATCTTAGAAGAAAATAAAACAATTTCTTAGCAACACTAGGGTTCTTGTTTAGGAAAAATAGCTTCAATTTATAGCAGATATATTTACTATGCGTACATGGGTTTTTAAACCCTTGCTTAAGTGTAAGGACAAAAGGAAAAAACTGGGGATTTATAAAGCTGCTACAGTGGAGATTCCAGCAGCCAAGAAATCCTAGATAATAGGATAGTTGGAATGACTGATTTTAAGGTTCGGATTGAATAAAGAGGTGATTCATCAGTGAGGGGATGAATACACTTAGAGAATAAGAGAGAAGGCTAAGACGACAAAACATAACAAGAAAGGGGAAGGCAATGTTTGTGGGACTGAAGAAGTAGAAAATGTGTGGTGAGCAGAGGTTTTGACCAAAAAGCAGATTTTCTAAATGTGAAACATTAGAAGAATGGCTCCTTTTAAATTGTTGGAAGAGATCAGCTAAAATCAAGGCCTATTATATTTGGAAATGGGAATGATTGATTTTCAAGTCTGAGATATAACCTAAATTTCTTGAACACAAGTTATGTTAAATTGACAGTGTTTTTCTTGGATGGTCTTATTTTCTGTGTTAATGAATTTGGTTTTCATTTTCTGTGTGTACTTCTATTTTTTGGCTGTACCTGACACTGGATAAGATTGTTAATTCACCTGCAAAACTCCCCACATCTGTAGTTATCATATGTTAAAGAAGAGACTAAGATTGAAGGTCCTTTCAGCAATGAATATTCTTGATAATTTGTTTGAGTTATTTCCCACTAGAGTCCAGATTTGTAAGATAATAATTATCCTCACATATTTTAGAGAGGTCAGTGCAGTGCTCAATAACATCTTCACTCATGCCCAAACACCAAGAGAACATAAGAATCTGCACATGTAAAATATTGTTTTCTTTGTTGTCATTTTCGTGCTTTTAACATTGCTTTTGTTAGACTGTGACGTTCTGAGAACAAGGATTATATATTATGGATTATCTTTTGTACATGGCGTCTTGCACATACTTGTGATCTAACAACAGGCAACTGAATTTAATTACTCGGAGTTCTTTAAGTTATTCAAGTGTTTGTATGAACAACTACACTATTTTGGAGGTAATAGTAGACTAACTTCTCCCTCCATTGTTCCAGTGTTAAAGCGGAAGAATGTATGATTGTTTTCATTTTTATTCTGCAGTTGGATTATAATATCCTCAAACTTACCATGTGATGGAGGCTTCCTTTCAGTATCATCATAATAATATTAATATAGTATATTTGTTAACATTTTACAAATTCATTTCACATGTCTTAGACTTAAAATATGTGTCTTTATATTAACTATTTATGACAGACAAGGTGAATAGATCCCAGTTTGAAGTAACTCGATTTGAAATAAACATAATATGAAAATTATGTATCTGAGCTCAGAGAGGGAAGAGTCTTGTTAAAGGACACAGAAGCTGCAAGTGACTAAATTAAATCACTGCACAAACAGGTTTGTGTTACATATGTGCTCACATACAAACACACACACACACTTCTGGAGCCTAACTTTACCAATGTGATTGTAATTCTTTAGTTTGTGACAGTAATTCCTAACATGTCACATTAATTATTCTGCTCACCATCCATTATGAGAAAATATACTCCTCATTATACATGCATATTTACATATGTAATAGATATGTATGCGTATGAACAAGTAGAAATTTTTGAACAAAAGAAAGCTTTGAACAGTTATCCAGGTTAAAGTAATATATTATTGTATGGATCTTTAAAAAAAATCTGGTGCTAAGCAATTCTACTTTAAAATTATTATTATTCTACTCTTGTTCACTGGCACAATGAGCTTTAAATATGAACAGGTAATATTTCATATGTTTCACGTTATTTCCAGAGTCTGTAGAATTTGCCTGAAAAGGATAGCAAAGTTTGGCCTTGTGAAATATACTTGAATGCATGGTCCCAGAGCAAGTGTTAAAAGGTTACAAGCATAGGACACATGATAATGATGATTATTCACAGGTGTGAAGATCAAGACTAAATAACTTGGATTATATGTGGATAAAGCTAGTTTCAAGTTCTGATCTCTTCCTGGTCTCTTAAGAATGGTGCTGACCTGTACGTGTATATTTCATTGTTACCTGGATAAAATAATACACTAAGGGATAAATGTAGATTATTGTAAGAATATAAATGTCTGCAGTATCCTAAGTGCCTTCAGTGAGGTACCCTTAGCTTCACAGCACATAGTTTCTTAAGGCTATGAAACTATTACATATTTTATATAGTTTGTGAGACACAGGCATATCAACCCAAGAACATTCAAAAGTGCTTTTTGAAGTGGAGCTCTAAATATCCCTGATATACATTCTGCATAACCTAGGCAGTCCCCTCCCCTCACCATTTTTCTTTTCTTTTCTCGTTGCACAGATATTCATGAATGCCTATCATGTTTTAAGCTTTAGGTTCACTGCATCAAAAAAAAATACAACAAATCCTTATTTTCATGGAACGTATATTTCATTGGGGTGGCGGGGGAGACAGACAATAAGCAAAGGAAGATTAGATAGACAAATGGATAGATTAATCAATAAATACTTTGGGAGATGTATCATATCAGACAATAAATCCAATTAAGATATTGGAGAGTTTGGAGAAGGAGTGGTAGAGCAGAGGTTCATTCTGGCTGTTGTGTGGAGACAAGGGTTGGTAAGGTAGAAACTGAGAAACTAGTTAGGAATCTACTTTAGTAATTCATATTGGCAGCAGTTTCCTGAGGGAAAGTGGTATTGAAGAATGTGGTAAGAAATGGAGATAAATAGGGATATGCTGATGGATAGAATGTTGGGTATGAGAGAAAGGGAGAACTCAAGGGTGACCAGGATTTTTTCCTGTATCTAGTGGAATGACACTGCCATTTACAGGAAAGCGGAATGACAGGAGAGGATTTGTTTTGTTTTATATAGATTTCACTTTTCCCTTCCCACTCAGTCTTTGCTGAAAACTGAAATAGACCAATTAGTATTTTGATTTAAATTCTTATGCTTAAAAGAAAGAATAACAATGGTGACAGCAATAAGTAATATTTGATAGTACTTACAGTTTGCAAAATATTTTAATATCCAGTCATGGATCTGCAATGTATGATCACCCTAAAGATTTCTTTCTGTACCTACTCCTAACCTTCAGAACAAAATACATAAATTTTTCTAGAGATATAAGATATTTTATAAGATACTTTATAATGCATAAAAACCAGTTAATATGTACCTACAAAATGGAAAAAGGAAAGATACATTTCTTGAAATATATCAATTAAGAGTTAAGAAAAAGTAAAAATGGACCATAAAGAATGGTATTATTTATTAAGCTGTGAATTAATATATATGCTATAATTTGTCTCTCAGATCCAAGGTTCATTAGTGCCCACCTCATCCCAGAGAGTGACAATCCTGAAGATGACAAAGTATACTTTTTCTTCCGTGAAAATGCAATAGATGGAGAACACTCTGGAAAAGCTACTCACGCTAGAATAGGTCAGATATGCAAGGTGAGGTAAAGAAAAAAAAAAAAATGAGAAGGATGTCATTTTCCCTTAAGGACTTTGCTTTTTAAAATTTTCTACCTGTGTGCACATACAATAAAAATTCTGGCTACAGTTTGGCTGATATAACAAATAAATGGTAAATAATGATTGAATATTACAGTTGGTTATGAGTAACTCTACACAGTCAAATATGCAGATAGAGGTTGTGAGGTAACTGGCATTGTTTCATAATTACCTTACATAATATCTGTTTGAAATTCTAGAGTAATAAAATGATTTTACTTTACCTGGGAGAAGACAATTTATGTTTTTTCAGTCCTAGCATAGTTTTCGATACCTTGTTAGTTTGTTGGGTTTTGTTTTGTTTTGAGACACAGTCTTGCTCTGTCCCCTAGGCTGGAGTGCAGTGGTATAATCTCAGCTCACTGCAAACTCCGCCTCCCTGGTTCAAGTGATTCTCCCACCTCAGCCTCCCAAGTAGCTGGGATTATAGGCACTCCCTATCATGCCTAGCTAAGTTTTGTATTTTTAGTAGAGGCGGGGTTTCACCATGTTGGCCAGGCTGGTCTTGAACTCCTGATCTCAGATGATCCGCCCCCTTCGACCTCCCAAAGCGTTGGGATTACAGGCATGAGCCACCGCGCTTGGCCTACCTTGTAAGTTTTGAATAAATATTTGTTGTTGGAAGATGTGAAGTATTCATTTAAGAGAGAAAAACATGAAAGCTCGTTTGTACAAACTGATCATAGCATCCTATGTACACATATACACACAGCACACACACAAACACCCATACAAAAACAATTTTGAAGCTGTGATCTTTACCTATCTGAGGTATTTCACTCATTGTATGGCTTAATGTCAAATGTAATTTTGCATTATACTGTTAGATACATGGAATAAAAATTGCTCAACAAACACTTATAATTAGTATCATCAGTGTGAAAATACAATAGTGCCATTTGTTTCCCTCTATGGTGCATAGTGCAGTATTTATGCAATATGAAAAAGTTAACTGTTAGTATATACTAAAGCACCCTTCAGATAAAGAAAATCATAAGCCACATTCCATGATCATCTTAAAATTGAATTCTGTCTTTTGAAGAAGGCATCCTGAAATTTAAAAAATCTGTTTCTTTCTATGTGTGACCTGTTACCCCAATATGATCTAATTATTATCTCTAGTGTATTCAATTACTGAAAAATTAAAAGTTTTCAATACTTGAAAACATACAAATAACATATGAAGTAGGTGAGACTTTTTTCTCTACAAAAAACATGTCATATTTAAAAGCACTACTTTCAAGGCTTAAAAAAATCTTTGAGGTGTATAAAAGTATATAAACAAAATATAAATCAGTTTTACTCTAAAGGAGCATGTTCTCTCAATATATGTACATAAGTACCATTTTTGAAAACTAGTTTCTAGTAAACACCTACCACAATAATAGAATTTGTTACTATGCTTAGGTTAAATCAGTTTTCTTCAAGGTGAGAAGCCTTTCAAAATGTTTTCTCTGGAATGAGTTTCCTTTATTAAGGGTTATTCAAATATTTTCTCAACGTGTTGTTTGTAAAACATAAATTGCTTCAACTTCTTCAGCTTATGAAATATTTGACGCTAGCATGCTTTTGTCTGAGATCTATTTTTTGTATGGGTATTTAAGGCATATGTTTATCATCCATTCTTTAAATACTCACTGAATGCCTACTGTGTACAAGCACTGGCTGTGAACCCACCTATGTAGGTAAGATCTCAATGCACAGTAGGTGGGAGACAGAGCATTATACCAAAACAAAACGAATTCATTCATTGCAGAGTAGAAAGGAAAGTTAAGTGATTTTTAAGATTCTATTATTTATTTTAATAGACAATAAAAATTGTATATATTTATTGTGTGCAATACGATGTTTTAAAATGTGTAGGCACTGTGAAATGGCTAGATCATGCTAATTAATACGCATTGTCTCACATACTTTTAATTCTTCATGGTGAGGACACTTAAAATCTACTCTTTTCACAAATTTCAATAATATAATTCATTGTTATTAATTAAAGTCATGATGTTGTACAATAGATCTCTTAAACTCATTTCTTCTATCTAAGTGAAATTTTATATCTTGGACCAAATCTCTTCATCCATCCCCCAAAGCCCCTGGTAACCACCGCTCTACTCTCTGCATCTTTGAGTTCAGCTTCCTATATTTTACATATAAGTGAGGTCACGTGGTATCTGTCTTTCCGTGCTTATCTCATTTCTCTTAACATAATGTCCCCCGGTTTATTCATGTTGACTCAAATGACAAGATTTCCTTCTTCTTGATTTTTATTTTTAAACTTTAAATTGGTAATTATGACTACATAAATTTATGATTACAAAGCAATGTTATGATTTATGAATATAATGTGGAATAATTAAATCAACTAGTTAACACACCCATCACCTCAAATACTTATTATTTGTGGTGAGAACATTTGAAATTTACTTTCTTACTATGATTTTGAAATGTATAATACATTATTATTTATGATACCACATTGTGCAACATATCTCAAAGAGAAAACTGTTTCTTCCCCTTATCTACTTGATTTCCTTTGTTTTAAGGCTGAATTGTAGACCATTGTGTAAATGGACTACAATTTCTTTATCCATTGATCTGTAGATGAACATGAATTGATTTTATAAGTAATCCCTTGAATAAATAAAGGGACTACTCACAATAAATATCCCTTAAAAAGTCAAAAAAACTTGAGGGAATGATTTGACCACAAATGTAACAATAAGTGATAGCTACCTATATCTGGTCATTTAAAATGATTAGGAACTTTTAAAACATGAGGAACTGTATTTTATGTTTGTCTGAAGATATGAAGAAAACAGAAATATTTGAAATTATCATTTGCATTCACAGTGCCTAATACTGGTGTTCCCTTCTTTCAGAATGACTTTGGAGGACACAGAAGTCTGGTGAATAAATGGACAACATTCCTCAAAGCTCGTTTGATTTGCTCAGTGCCAGGTCCAAATGGCATTGACACTCATTTTGATGAACTGCGTAAGAAGCTAGTGTTTATGTATAGAGAATATTTGTTCAGACTTTGCCATTCCATAAAAAAGCAACTTTCTCCAATTTTGTTTTTAAACAGAGGATGTATTCCTAATGAACTTTAAAGATCCTAAAAACCCAATTGTATATGGAGTGTTTACGACTTCCAGGTAAACAACTTTTTAACTACCTTATAGAAACTTCATGTTATTTAGGTAGTATCCAAGTACCCATAATTTGTGAAAGTATATTTTTGAAAGACAAGTGTTGCTTTAACCTTTGAGTTGTTGTGTATTCTTGGGTGACTGAAAGAAGTTATGATCTATGTAGATGTTTGTTTTTTAAATGAACTTTAGACAAAAAATCATCATTGTAATGATGTGAATGTGTTATGGTGAAACAGTTTGAAATGGTTATGTCATCTTATGCATATCTTTGACTTTAAACCTTGAATAAAATGTAAAATATTATAGAGATGGAAGTCTGAGGTTTGGGAAGAGTTTGTAGGGATATAAATTAAGGATGGAAAAATTAATTTAAATTTGTTGAAAATATAACGGAAACAATTCTCTGTCTCTTGATCTCTCTGTCACTTTAGTCAATTGCTAATGAATGAGATAAGAGAAAATCCCATCAGCAATTCCACTGAAAGTCCTGTCTTTAACCAGATGATTAGTATGGGAATCTGGGGACAAAATACATCTAGAAATGTCAAAACAGTTCATGGTTCTTCCCAGCATGTCTATTCCACAGATGGGATATTTGCTACGCTTTTCTTTGGTCTTTAAACCTTTAACCCTAGAACTAAACTAGAAATGTATATGTTTGGAGAAAGTTGATTGTTTACAAAAGAAATTTTTTAATTGCCTTTAGGTAATTAAAAAAATTATTAATACAATCATCACTTCTCAACCTTTAAGATTGTGTGAAAACTTATTAATACAGCAATGGAAGACCCTTTACGTAGTATAAATAGTTTTAAAACTTTTTAAGTCAGTAAATAGATTATCTTTGTAAAAAAACTACTTTTTTTTCCTGAGACTCCATTTGGTTTTTTATTATCTACCTTGTAACCCAGATTTTAAAATAATCATGTAAAAAGACATAAAATAAACAAACAGAAACCTTCAGCATTACAGCACTAGGGTTACATTATAACCACATAAAAAGACAATAAAAACAAACAAGAATCTTCAGCATTACAGCACATAATAAAAACAAACAAAAACCTTCAGTGTTGCAGCATGATTTTTTTATTATTATTTTTTATTTTTTGGAACCAGTGTCAAACTCAAACTTAATTTCCTTGTCCTTTTATCCCCTTTTATCCCTGCCCTGCTTTTCCTGCTCTTTCTCTACTGGCTCCTTCCCTTCTTCCTTCCCCTTCTGCTTCCTCTTTTTCTCTCTCTTCCTCTTGCCTCCTTCCCTCTTTCCTCACACTTCTCCTTTTCCTATTTTTCATGGTCCCTAAGTCTCTTGCTGTCAATTAAGCAGAGATTATTTCCCTTCAGACTATTACATTCAGTATAAAGTTCACGTTATACTGTACGTGTATACATGTACATTTGAAAGAAATACATGTACATTTACATGCAGATAAAGAAGGATCTGCATTGGGATGTGGATGAAATGTTAAAAGAAAAATAATTTAAAATCAAAAGTCAGAACAAGTACTGCAAGTAACTTTGATAGTAAAGAAAATGATTAACTGCAATGTCCAACACTGTTTTATTCTGTGACTATTAAAGCCACTACAAATTGCTTGGATGTTTTACTCAATAATTTTTAAAAAATCACATAAAAATTAAATAAAATTAAATAAAATTTTAAAATCACATAAAAATCTGTATGTCTAAAACTATTTGAAGTTCTTCATACCTAAATAATATTTCTTCCCTTTGCAAAAAAAAAAAAAAAACAGAATGACTAATCTATAGAACTTAAGAGACTCAAACAAATATTAATCCATTTCTTCTGGTTCCTCATTGCTCAGTGCAGGGGCTCAAATTTGAGTCTGCATCAGAATCTCCTAGAGAGCATGATAAAATTCAGATTCCTAGGCCTTGCCTCCAGAGTTTCTGACTCAATAGAAATTAAATGCGACCTAAGAATGTGCAGTTCACACAAGTACCGAGGTGATGCCCATGCCGTTTGCCACCTTTTGAGAGCTAGAGATAAAATAATTTCACTGCTTTATTTCAATAGAATGCATATTTGTATGTGAGTCTTAATAGCTACATATCATACTCCTTAAGTATTTCGATGATAGCTGATTTAATCAAAGATAAGCAAAGTAAATAACAACGGAAAGGGGATATATAACCCAAACATTACATGGTGTGATGTATCAAGTATGCACTAATTTGCTATTTGTTCTGCTATGAAAATGTTATTAAATTCTATAAGTATTTATTGAGGCTTACTCTCTGAAATGCCATATGATATATAATTTAGATAGCCAAAAAGAAGCCAGGCATGGTCTCTTCCCTCATGAAGCTTGCAGTCTATGAAACGCTGTCTATATGCAGCAGTTTCCAGTAATAAACTGTAGAGAGCACATGTTGTTCATTTGGTCTGATTTATATGTAATTTTCAAGGGGGAAAGTTTGGTTAAAAGATAAGCATTCCATATTTTAAATGTGCACAACTGTTTAATACCTTTATAAATACATTACTCAAGCCACATTTCTATAAGCCTAATAAAATGGAAAATTGTGGCAATTCAGTGGCTTGCTTCCAGTTTACCTGATTTTTTGTTTAGCGAACAAAATTTTTGTTTAGTGAAATGATGAGTATAATTGCTGTAATTCTCCACTTTAATTGAGTGAAATAGGTACTAACGTAATTATTTTCTGTGTTAGAAAGAGCTGATTTTAAGTGTCTTCACAAGAATCAACTTCCTACTTGATCTAATACTTTTGGGAATTTAAAAATAATATAATGTGACACATCATTTGACACTATTTTTTGTACTAGTTTCAGCCTACAAAGTGAGTTCTTAAACATTCTTGCTAATTTAAAAGTTTCCTGGGTTCTGTAATAATGCTTGAGACTTAATCTACATTTTTAAAAATTTCCCCATGATATTAAAATTACATATTCATTTATAGCTTATATGTATTTGTTTTTCCTATCAAAACCTAGTACTCTGTTTCATATGAAGGCATATATTCTGAGTACTAAAGCCATTTTCAGCTATGCCTTCTATTTTTAAGAAATCACATTTTTTTGTTCTTTTGTATATTGTTAAATGCATACACGTGACTAGAAAAATCCTAAACATTATTGCTAACAATTTATATTTATATTTTAATAAATATCAAAAATGTAAGAACTCAGTATCAGTATTTCTCTTACCATTGTATAAAGATGAACATCTGTTTTTATTCTTGCTGTCTTGTTCAGTAACATTTTCAAGGGATCAGCCGTGTGTATGTATAGCATGAGTGATGTGAGAAGGGTGTTCCTCGGTCCATATGCCCACAGGGATGGACCCAACTATCAGTGGGTGCCTTATCAAGGAAGAGTCCCCTATCCACGGCCGGGAACTGTAAGTAGCTTAGGTGTTTATGAGATCAATATATTTCTGCCAAAGGCCAAAAAACAATGCAGTTACAGACAGATATTAAATGTATCCTGTAATGTAAAAAAAAGATTTCAAGATTATAAATTAAAAGAAGACAAAGATTTTCCATGAGTGAATGAAATTTCACATTTAAAAACATGTTCTTTACAGATGTCTCTGCTTAAATTCAGTGTAAGATATAAATCTAAAATTATTAAATCTTATTTTAATTTTTGATCACACATTTCTAAATTTTTGCAAACTATTTTTACATGGTATTAGAGAAGTGCAGAAATAATTTTCAGTCTCATGAAAATATACTTTATCGTGTCTTCCAGGTTTTTACATAAATGTTTGATATTTCTATAACCTTAATTTTATAATTTACATACAAAACAAGAAATACAACCTCACATTCCTTAACTGTTATATTGTTGTACTATTGTGCATCTATATATACATACATAGATATATATATGTGTGTATTTATATATACTCCTACCATATCAAAACACATTCATTTTATTTCTCATGAATTATTAATATTTTTCAAGCTAGTGGCAAAGACAATTGATTTCTCATTCTAAGCTTCTTGTAAGATCAAGAATCTCTCATAATTACATTTTAGCTCCCAAGCTTTTACATTAAATGGTAGAAATTACTTAAGTGTGAGACTAAAAGCAAGAGATTGGAGATATTGTACTCTATAAATGCTTGCACTGCATCAATAACTATAGTGAAAGGAGGTGGTGAAATCTTAATTTGTCATTTTTGTTGTATTGTCTTACATAGAGTGTTTACATCCAGAGGTGGGGTTATGCCAGTGCAAAACCAGCATCTTTCTGGCTGCTGGGGCCATTTTCTCTTCTGCTTGGTCAAGACGTGCATTCTGATTGGTCACGTTTTGTGCAATACAGGTTGTTAAACACTTTGAATAACACTTTTCCTTATCACTGGGATTATTTTATTTATTACATTTCTCGATGGTACTTTTTTAGCATTATGTTAGAAACAAAACAATAAAGAATATATTTTTTTCAGTTTGAAAAGAGAATTTGTATTTTAGCATGATGCCATAGTAAAAAGTTAAATGTATTCAATAAAATTATTCTGAGTATCTCTAATTCAAAGATTAATTGCATTTAGTTGTAGTATATTCCATTCATTATGTCAAATACTTCACCTATTTTACTAATAACACTCAAGCTTGTGGCACTAATAGAGGCACCAAACTTCTCCTGTACACTGAATTCATTACATATATTCGTAATTTTGCCTAAGAATTAGTGACATAACTAAATCTCACTGAGAATTAAGATATATTTGGGAAATATATACTATATATTGCACTACTCTTTTCCTTTATTTTATTTTTGAGACAGATTCTTGTTCTATTGCTTAGGCTGCAGTGCAATGGTATGATCTCAGTTCACTGCAACCTCCGCCTCCCAGGTTCAAGCAATTCTCCTGCCTCAGCTTCCCAAGTACCTGGGACTACAGGCATGCACCATCACGCCCAGCTAATTTTTATATTTTTAGTAGAAATGGGGTTTCACCATGTTAGGCCAGGCTGGTCTGGAACTCCTGGCCTCAAGTGATCCACCTGCCTCGGCCTCCCAGAGTGCTAGGATTACAGGTGTGAGCTATCATACCTGGCCTGAACTGCTATTTTAAGTAGAACCATTGAGGCCATGTGTTATTATATGATGTACAGTTATGTTTATTAGATTTTAATCAAAAGATACTGTTCTCTTTATCATAATAGTGTCCCAGCAAAACATTTGGTGGTTTTGACTCTACAAAGGACCTTCCTGATGATGTTATAACCTTTGCAAGAAGTCATCCAGCCATGTACAATCCAGTGTTTCCTATAAACAATCGCCCGATAATGATCAAAACGGATGTAAATTATCAATTTACACAAATTGTAGTAGACCGAGTGGATGCAGAAGATGGACAGTATGATGTTATGTTTATCGGAACAGGTAAATTTTTAAATTTCAACTGTAAACTTTTTTCCAGAACACTATGTTTAACTGATTAAGTAAAGTTGATCTTTGAACATCATAGGGGTTGGGGTGCCAACTCTCTGTGCAATTGAAAATCCACATGTAACTTTTGATTTCCCCAAAACTTAATTACTAATGGCCTACTGTTGGCTGGAAGCCTTACCTATAACATAAACAGTTGATTAGCTTCACATATTGTATGTCATATGTATTAGATATTGCATTCCTACAATAAAATAAGCTAGAGAAAAGGAAGTGTTCTGAAAATCATAGGGAAGAGAAAATATATTTAATATTCCTTAAGTGGAATTGGATTGCCGTTGTCTTCCTGTTGAGTAGGTTAAAGAGAAGGTAGAGTAAGAGTTGGCATTGCTCTCCCAAGGGTGGTAGGAGCAGATGAAAATTTGTATATAAGTGGACCCACACTGTTCAAACCCACGTTGTTCAAGGGTCAAATGTATACTAAGAACTGAGGCCAGTTTCTGTAGTTACCTTCAAGGTATAATTCACCTTTAATAAATGAGTAAATAACATGAATATTCTTTCATTACAAATTTATTATCTTTTCAGACAAGCTGAGACATACTAATTTAAAATAAATTCCCTTTTCAGTGAAAAGTTGGTAAGTTTAATCAGGTAAAGCTAATGATTAGGTAAGCAATCAATATTTATAATTGCATCATAACTTTTCTGGCCAGTGGCTTTTTAGAACAAAGATATATGACTCAAGTTCTGCCTTAAATTCTCAAGACATTCAATAATAGTTTCAGAATATTAGTGCAAAATTATCTGAACTTTAAAATTACAATAATGTGAACATCGTCTAGTAAATAAATGTTAGCAATAAAATTTTTTCAGTGTTTCTGCCATACAATGAAAAGAAAAAAAAAATCATTAGAAAAACAACATAATTGATTCAAATAATTCTTAGATACATTTCTATGGACATTTAACAATTCATTTTACTAATTCCATAATTAGAAACAGACTTTTTCAGGTATATTTTAAGAATGAATTCCATTGTTATTATGATATATTATTTTATTTTGTTCCCTGCTCTTTTTAACAGTAATATTATTTTTGAACGTCCTAGTTACAAATCTGATACTTGCTACTTAGGGTCAGATTCCAAGGTAATAAATTTCTAGTCTCCATTAACACTGTTAACTGACATAAATCAATGGGGAACAGAGTGAGTGCTCCACTGAAACCTTGTATAATAACATTTATTTTCCCTTAGTGAGAAACAGAAAAAAAAAAATTGCATTAACTACAGGGGAATGGCGACCATATAGTAAGTGCTTTAAAGACTTAAAGTTTTATAACAAAATTGTGAAATACTTATGTTATCAGGTGTAACAGTGTCAGGTTCTGAGCAATACATTAAAGTCCACTTTTATGAGTGAGAAAGTTTCTCTACCAAATAAAAGAATCTCAAGCAGACCCAGGGTTTCATAAAAGTCAATGAACTGCCAGTATCAATTTCTGGTTATAAATATCCTTAGAACATATAAGAAATAGTATTTCTCTCAGATAAATATTAGTTTATCATTCAACATCAAATTATAATTTCTTTTCTTTTCAGAGTAATTAAGTTTGTTCAGTCATGTCACACTTGCCTTTTCCTTCACCTCTGGCTTAAATGTATTGAGAAGTCTCTCACTGTCAAAGCAACAAAGCTTGCTTCCGGGTATTTGACCAAATAAACCTAATCATGAGCTTTTAATTCCTCTTGGACGCAACGTGTCTTTAAAGGCACCAATTTCATGAGTGTGTTGACTGATGATGTGGATGTCTATCGGTCAGTACAGACCAGGGTCATCTGTCAGCAAAGTAAACTGATTACAGTAATTTTATCTTTTAACTAAGTTGCACATCATAGTATATTGATCCTAGTTGAGTAATCTGATTCAATTTGTGTGAAATTGTTTGAAATACTACTCAGTAAAACTTGATCTGGAAAAGAGATAAAGCTGTGTTTGGGTACCAGAGACCCGATCAGAGGCACTGAGTAGATTAACCTAATTTACCTTTAATCTTTAGTGTTATGAGTAGCCTAAGGTCCTGTAAATATAAAAGGATCTTCTTAAAAGTGTACTTTTTTTTGGTTTAACTTTACAAGGGATAAATTAGCAACCTTTCTTGATCTCATATAACATATCGTGTTGGTTCTCTAAAAATAGTTATCAATGAATTATTTTTCTCATATAATTTGTTCTTCATTGACAAGATTTTCTTCACAATTACTTTGTTGAACTTGATTAAAAGGAACCAATTGAGGCCAACTAGATTTGATCAAGTTTAGTCAGAACTAGAAGGTTGAAGAGTACAATTTTTGAATTTAATAAGCCCCTGTTCCTCATTCCATCAAGGAACAGGAACATACTTGTAATACTGGAAAATTAATAACTTTTAAGCCCAACTTAAAATAAGAGTGACAACCCTTGTTATTAAAACAAGTTGTCTCTTTCAAAAATGCAAATTAGAAAAACAATTAAGGTTTGAAATCTCTATAAAATGTGTTCAATATTTTTATGCTTTTGGCTTCTGAATGTTAAATTTCCTTAATGCTCTAAAATGGAATAACCAAAGTGTGCATTTTTGAAAGACCACAGCAATAAGTAATCCTAGGTGTTTACTTTGAGAAATCGGGTTATTGTCATTCATCACATAATGGCCATTGAGCCATCATTAGGAACTTCTAAGTACTAAAGACTTTTAGATGACAAGATGAGCAACCAGGGCTCTGAAGCTCTGACTACTTCCCTTGCTTGACAACATTCCTTGCATTTTTCATTTATATTGAGTCTTCATAGTAGGACCCTGATTTTGTAATAAAAGTGGAAGAACCTGTCATGACAAACTGATATTATTTTTAGGTTTTGTTTCTGAGACACCAGGCAATTAAGGAGATATTTTTAGAAATAATGAAAAGAATTGATCCAACCCAGGCAATCTCTGTAATAATTATTATATTTTTAAAAATGTATGCAGTCTCATGATAAAACTTCCTTCAAGGCTTAACATATTTCTAAAAATTCAGTCTTTTATATTGAAGTTTGTCTTTATAGTTTACCCTTATACTTTGTCTAACTGCAAGAAATGCATTCAAATATGTATTTTACTCGTGTTTTGACCAAAAAATAAATTAAAAGGAAGACTGATATCAAAGGTTCTTTGTCTGATAAATACATATTTCATTCATTAACACTAAACTCTGTTCAGATCTACTAAACTTGTGGTCTTCTCCCCTCTTTCTTTCAAAGATGTTGGGACCGTCCTTAAAGTAGTTTCAATTCCTAAGGAGACGTGGCATGATTTAGAAGAGGTTTTGCTGGAAGAAATGACAGTTTTTCGGGTGAGTTCTGCTTAATTTCAAGTGTCAACAAGTTCAGTTGTACGTCTTTCCCCCAGGACAGCTGCACACCAAACTTGGTATGGACAAGTAGTCTAGCATACATACCCTTCTAATTAGCTTGTCAATTAGAAAACCAGACACTAGTCAAAATAAACCTTGAAACTTTCAATGCTGGTTAAATCTAAAGATGTAAAGAAATATATTTTTGGCTCATATTTTGTTTTCCCAATGATAAAATATATTATTTACATTTTATATTATTTATGTAAGTTATCTCAATGAACAAACTCTTCCCCACTCCTAAAATCTATTTTACACATGATAGTATAACTGAAATGATATGTAACTTCTATGAATGTACTAAAGGAAATACATTCAGAATGACAGAATAGTGAAGATATTTTAATCAATTTTTAGCTTATGTATGAATTATTTTATATTTTCTTAAAGAAATCATTTGTTAGCAAAAGAAAATTTGAGAGGTCTATATCACTGACAGTAAATTTGTTATAGATTCCTAGTCTACACGCTTAAGAAATGTACAGATATTTGTCCCATTGTCCTGAATCACAGACAGGCCGGGGGAGTTGTATAGGGTTGGAGGAATGGGGGTACAGGTGAGAAGGGCATTGGATGGGTGAAGGGAAAGAGGAGAACTGGAGTAGTCTAACATATACCACATGTCTGTTATTCCTTTTGGGAAGTCAGCTAATAGAAATAGTTTAAATTGAAGCACACCTTGAGATCATTAATGACATATGACGGAAAAATATATGCCTGTAAATGTGTTGTTTGAATTTTTTGATAAAAGAATAGAGCAAACATCTATTGAGACATTTATAACTGCAAAAAAAAACAAAAAACAAAAACCAAAAAAAAACAAACCACACACACACACACACACACCAAAACCGTGTATTAGAAGAAGTTGATAGACAGAAAAATGAGAAAATATCGCTTCTAGTCTGACAACTTCAAGTGATCTCATTTAGTCTTTAGGTGTCTGTGGTAGTTTACCTATGAAATGAATGGGCTTGATTAAAATTTTCAGTTGGTTCAATATTTTAATGGTAAGCAGTTTTCCCAAGATGTCTTACCCCAATACTTACATACCTATATACAATAAGTTATTCTTCACTCTTTAGTAGTATTTTAAAGAAAAAATGAAGTATAATATGGAAAGCTCGTAATACATATTCATTAAACTGGCATTATAATTAACATTGAAACATATAACTGGTGAATTGTAACATAGATGTTTTATGATAACAAGCTACACAATGTTCTACTGGAAAGGGTTTAGACTCTACACTCATATCTACATGACAAATCCATTTGGAACACTTAAACCATTCCTCTGAACTTCACCATCAGTAAAACAGTGAGCATAACATCTATTTCCCCAGGACACTGGAAGACTTAGAAACACTGTAGGTCGTGCATCAAAGACAGTATCAGGCACTTAGCTCAAAATGTCATTGCTAATATAATTTTATTATTTTAGTTTAGCTAAACTGAAAATGAGCTACATTCCCAGTAGCCTTTCCTACTAATTCTTGGTTTAAGTCTTCAAAATAATAAAATAATCATAATTTTATTATGATTTTTACAATCAGGCACATTAGCCTTATTTATTTATAACAATTTGTATGCTAAAGTATCAAAGTGATCTAATTTATCAGTCCAGTATAGAGTGATGACTAATCCCTATCAATCACCATGTCCCATAGGTTACCCCAATGAACACATTGGTACTTTATCTTAGAAATTAACAACAGCAGCTAACAACTATCCAAATGGACTCTATTTGGCCACTATAGAGTATGTTTAGATTTAGAAAACTATACAGGCACTCAGGGGTGGATATATAAATTGCTGTCTTGTCTTTATTGTTACATCTCCAAAACCTAAAATGTCTTTTAAACCAACATGTATTAAATGAGTGAATTAATTAGTATTGATGAAAAAATGAAATACAAGAAATTAAAGAATTTAAGGCCTTCTTCAAGGAGACGATGCTTAAAGTGAGGTGCCCAAGTATGAGAAAAATAAACTAGGAATAGTCACAAGTTATCATCCTGATTCTGCACCATATTATTCTCCAGTAGAAAACCTTTACCAACATATATTTGGAGACGAATTTTGCCACTACTATTGCAAATGAAGTTACAGGAGACACTAAAATATGGTTATCTTAAGAATTTCTAATTTCCAGAATCTCTTACTTTTGCATTTGTCATGGTTCATTTGCATATTTCCTTTCAGTTATAATACATTTTTAAAACAGGGTTCATTAACTAATTTCCACTGTAAATAAATGTATATTAGTAGATATGATGGGACTGGCACAATGCTAAATTCTGGTGATACAGAGATGAACACTATAAAAGTGGTCTCTGACTTCATGCAGCTCAAAGACTATGATGTGTTATCAATCTCAGTTTCTAGGACTTACTTTACTACCTATTAATGCAATTACATTTTATTTTGTAGAATTGTATCATATCACGACATTGTAAAAATAAGGTTATTTTTTATTATTTAATTATTTTCTGATATTATGAATTAGAATGTGCATAATTTTGCAGTGATATTGTATTTTAGTGAATTTTTATTATTTGTATCTCCAGGGATTTTAAGTTTATATTTCACATCTTGGCTATGTTGTTTAGTACATTAATAAGAATTTTAATTTAAAAAGGTGTTAATTTAAACTGACCTACTAAATGACTTTTAACAAAATTACGAAAATTATGAGATGTTGGAAATCAACAATCTTGCGAGTATAGTCATGCACTGCATAACAACATTATGGACAAGAATAAATCCCACATATGACAGTGGTCCCATAAGATTATAATGGGCCTAAAATTTCCTATTGCCTAACATTTTCAATAGTTTACTTTCTGTTGTTATTTTACATTGTACTCCTTCTACTTATAAAAAATTAATTATAAAACATCCTCAGGCAGATCGTTCAGGAGGTATTCCAGAAGGTAGCATTGTTATTGTAGGAGATAATGTGTTATCTCCTATAATATAGAGATATCAAATATATGTGTTATTGACCCTGAGGTCCTTCCAGTAGAGCAAGATATGGAGGTGAAAGACAGAGATATAGATAGATGATCCTTACCCTGTGTAGGCCTAGGCTAGTGTATGTGTTTATGTCTTCATTTTTAACAAAAGGAGTTTAAAAAGTAAAATAATAATAACAAAATTTAAATACAATAATAGTTCATAGAACAAGAATATAAGGAAAGAAAACATGTTGGGACAGGTGTATAATATGTGTTTTAAGCTACGTGTTTTTACAAAAGAGTCAAAAAGTTTTAAAAATTCGTTTATATTGTAAAAAATTTACAGAAAGCTAAGATTAATGTATTACTGAAGAAAGAAAAATGGTGACTACAAAGTCTACAGTGGTGCATAGCAATGTCCTAGGCCTTCACATTCACTCACCACTCACTACCTGACTTGACCAAAGCAACTGCCAGTCCTGCAAGCTCCATTCATGAGAAATACCCTACACAGGTGTACCATTTTTAAATCTTTTCGACGATACATTTATTGTACCTTTTCTATGTTTAGATACACAAATACTTACTATTGTATTATGATTGCCTAAAATATTCAGTACAGTAGCGTGCTATACAGGTTTGTATCCTAGGAGCAACAGACTGTATCATCTAGCCTAGGTAGTAGGTAAGTGTACTTTATGATTTTTCACACAATGACAAAAATCACGTAATGATGTGTTTCTCAGAATGTATCTCTGTCATCAACCCATACATGATGGTACGAGTATTTAATATCTATTAGATTTTTTTTTTTTTTTTAGCTTTTTGCAGTTTCCAGAGAAATACATAACCGACTTATACCTTTGATAGCTATTAGATGACATTTGTGTAGCATTTAAGATATCATGCAGTGGCTCACGTCTGTAATTCCAGCACTTTGGGAGGCCGAGGCGGGCGAATCACGATGTCAGGAGTTCCAAACAAACCTGGCCAGGATGGTGAAACCCCATCTCTACTAAAAATGCAAAAAATCGTCTGGGTGTAGTGGCAGGTGCCTGTAATTCCAGCTCCTCAGGAGACTGAGGCACAATAATCGTTTGAACCTGAGAGATGGAGGTTGCAGTGAGCCAAGATTGCACCACTGCACTCCAGCACTGGTGATGGAGTGAGACTCCATCTCAAAGAAAAAAAAAATGTTTCATTATTATCAATCTGTTACAATTAAATGCAAATGAATACTATTGTGCTGGCATGGAAATGCTTGTTTCGGACTTTAAAATTTTGGAAAAAGATTGTGCGTGAACAATATTCCTTTGATAGAAAACCATTTCAGTTCTCTTCTGTAGTCTCTGCTATGCATTATTGTCATTATTATTTCTTTGGCACTCAAGTAGACAAAACATATTTCGGCAGAGTTTAGAGAAATATTTACTTTCCACATTCTATTCTATCAGGCAAAGTTCATACATATATTGTGGTCTAGCAATTGGAATATTTCACTGTCAAACTTTGTTTAATTTTACAGTGGGAAGGAAGAAAAACCCCACAACACATTAAAGCCATAGCTATATACAGTGAAATAAGCAGACAAATTTTACTGTTTCTTTGTTTCTATTTGAGCCATGTAAGGCAATCCATTTAAAATAAAATACTATAAAAAAGGTCAGGGATTATTTGACAAGGTAAATAGAACAGTTAAAGATTTAGAGTAGTGGTAGTATCTGATATTCTTGGATTTTATTAAAGACATTTAATGATATCCAACCAGTTAATTTTACCATATTATCATCTTCACGAGACCATGTTCATTACGTGTTCTTAACAGAATGAATAACCAAACCTCATATAAATACATGAATTAAAACCGGTACTACACCCATTCCCATTTTGAGTTGGTTTCAGGAAAACACCCTGACTAATCATACATATTCCAGTGGTTTCAGTTATATCCAATATACTTTTATTTGGGGTGAAATCAAA